CCACTGCACAACCAGGGAAGCCCTCCTCATGTATCTCTGATTTAACAATTAGGATAATTTCCTTCTGCCTAAAGCATGCCACTATCAATCTGCTGGTGACAAATACTCTATTTTGAAAATTTTACCTTCATTTTTAAAATATTTTAGAAATATTTAGTCCTTTGAAGTTATCATTCTATCATTTTCTGGCTTAAGATAGTTCTGTTATAAAGTAAGTTGTGGGACTTCCCTCGTGGTCCAGTGGTTAAGACTCCACACTCCCAAAGCAGGGGGCCCAAGTTCAATCTCTGGTCAGGGAACTAGAGCCCGCATGCTGCAACTAAAAGATCCTGCATGCCACAACAAAGATCCTGCATGCCGCACCAAAGATCCTGCATGCTGCAACGAGGATCCCACAACTAAGACTCAGCACAGCCAAATAAATAAATAAATATTTTTTAAAAAATTAGTTGTCAGTCTAATTTTTGTTTCTTTAAAGATCGATTCTTATTTTCTCTAACTGCTCTTAAGATTTTTCTTTGTCTTTGGATTTTAGCAGTTTTTTCATAATGTGTTTATGTGTCAATTGTGTTGATTGAAAAATTTTTTTTATCCTGCTAGGGATTCATTCATTCAAATATTATTTCTGCCCAATACTGTCTTTTCTTTCCTTCTGGAATTCCATTCACGTGCATATTAAACTTTATCACTGTATCTTCTACATGCTTTCCCTGTGTTCTGTATTTTCCATCCTTTTTATTCTTTGTGCTTCATTCTGAGTATTTTTTTGTGACTTACCTTCTAGTTCCCTAACTTTATATCCGTGTCTAATATGTTATTATACCCATCACTGAGTTATTTTCAGTTAGTGAACTTTTTGGTTCTAAAATTTTCATCTGATTCTTTTTTCAAGTTTCTAGTTATCTGCCTAAATTATTAATCTTGTGTTTTATTTATTTATATATAGTAAGCATTGTTATTTTTAAATCTATGTTTGGTAATTTCACTCTCTGAACTCCTTTTGGGTCTGTTTTTGTTCTCTGTTGTTTCTGCTGATTTTTCCTTGTATGACTTACTTTTAATTGTACACTAGACTTCGTATTTGCAAAATTATTAGTAGAAATGACTTCAGGCCTAGCATGATATTACTTTACTCCAGGAAGGATTTTAGTTTGCCTCCACCAAAGTCTTGTGGGTATTAGCTCAAGGGAATTATCCTAATCCACTCTCAGGGTTGAGATGTTTTGAAAATGAGATGTCACCTATTTACTTCTAGGATGTAGCCATTTGGATTCCTAGTACAAAGCAAGGGAGTTTCAACAGAGCTCTCCTCCTGCCTCCTTAGCACACCCTGAATTCCAATCATTGTCCCTCATCCCTGCTCATCCTCTCAGCAACCTTCTATGGAATGGATAAATGGACGTCCCTGGGCCTCCATCATTCCTCAGATCCATGGCCTGGTAATTCCTATCTTATTAACTCTCTGATGTCTTTGAATTGATTTTTTAATATTTTGTTGAGTTTTTCTAGTCTCCTCAATAGGAGGATTGGTCCAAATTAATCCCAATACCAGGGCTTATACAAATGTAACTATGATTAAACATAGGTAGTTGTTTTTAAGAAGGACTTTGAAAACAATCCTTAAAGGAAAAAAGAATTAACTTTCATTCACAATCTTTTGAGTCCAAGTGGCAGCTCAGTATTTAGGAATGTTGTATCCGAGTTCTGATATCATGTGAGTAAAGTTACTTCTTTTATTGACAAATACTATTGAACATCATCTTTGTTCTGAAAGCTATTCTAAGAAATTACATTATAAGGATGAAAAAGACATGATCACTGACCTCAAGGGGCTTGAAGTCTAGATTCCGTGTTGGTACACTGGTTACTTTTGGACGCATCAATTCATGATCAAACAGTCTTTTGTTAAATACACATGATACAATGATAAATACATTTAAAATTTAAACATGTATATTTGAGTTCCTATCACTTTTCAACCTAAACATGAGGGCATTTTAAACAATATATTTTCTAATGCATTTGTCTTCTAGTAAAGTTTACTAATGAGTACGTTCTTTTTAAGTATTTTGGAGAAAGAAGACTACAAGCTTCGGGACTTCCCTGGTGGTGCAGTGGTTAAGAATCCACCTGCCAATGCAGGGCACACAGGTTCCAGCCCTGGTCTGGGAAGATCCCACGTGCTGTGGAGCGACTAAGCCCGTGTGCCACAACTACTGAGCCTGTGCTCTAGAGCCCGCGAGCCACAACTACTGAGCCTGTGCTCTAGAGCCCGCGAGCCACAACTACTGAGCCTTCATGCCTCAACTACTGAAGCCCACGTGCCTAGAGCCCGTGCTTGGCAAAAAGAGAAGCCATTGCAATGAGAAGCCCACACACCACAACGAAGAGTAGCCCTCGCTCGCCACAACTAGAGAAAGCCAGTGCGCAGCAACGAAGACCCAATGCAGCCAAAAACAAATAATAAATAAATTTATTTAAAAAAAAAAAAGAATACAAGCTTTGCAGGAGATCTTAAATGCCAGGATCCTTTTTTTCCTAAACAGTTAGGCTCTGGTTTCCTAGACTTTTTACTCTTGTAAACTCCTGGGAAAAAGCTACTCACTCTGAAACATTATTATTTTTAATCAGAGCTTTTCCTTGGTAGGTATTCAAAGCCCTCTAAAATAGCCTCTAAGTATAAAAGTGTCCCTGGACTCTGAACTGTGTGACAGATTTCCTAAGAGACCTGAGCCTTACCCGCAGAGATTATTTATATGTGCCAGCCTCTCTGGGGTGAATCAGTCAGTAGAGAGGACCAGCAGAGAAAGCTTAGTGGATGCGGATGCAGTAGGTTCATTATTTGACCATGGACAAGTTACATCACTTTTCTGGATTTGTTTTCCCATCCATGATAGATTGGGCTCCTAGATGATATATCTCTAAAGTATATATAACTTCCAGTTCTCAAATTCTGCAATTCTTCTGGAATTGAGGAGGATTGTTTTGTCACCTGAGTTTAAAATAGGTTAGAAGGAAAAACAGAAACTAAAGTTCCATATATCAAGTAAGACACTAGTGCAATAATCTATAAGGAGACGAAGACCTATGTTAGTGGCCACCATGACAATGACCAGCAGAGATAAAACAAGACTGAGGTCTGAGGAGACTGTCGCTCTCCAGAAGCCACCTTCTCTCAAACTTTCTTCCTTCTTACCTCTTCTCCCTTTCTGCTACACTATTCCTCCAGAAACTTCCTTAACTTTGTCCACATGAGGGGGTAACAGTGATTGAGCTTAAGGGAGAAAGTGAAGCAACTCTTGCTTCAAATGAAGCAACTGTTGCTTCAACTGAAGCACATTGTACATTTGCCTTGTGGTCTCTTACTCTGAATGCAGCTACGAGGCCCTCCAGGACAGTGTAATGAAAAACAAATGGAACTAGTAGATGACTGGACAAATCGTATAAACAGTGTTTTCATCTGTGGAATGAGGGGATGAAACTTCCATTTTTGTTATTATATATTGTGATTCCTATAAGTCTTCTGTATCTCTGTCACCCCCACAGCTTGACTTGTTTAGTTGTCAGTAGGCAGCTTGTTTCATCTTCTGCCCACTTTATACTTAGAGCCTGGCACATATACAGTTAACATTCATTTTTCAGGAAGGAAATGAACTTCTGTTAGCACCTACTATGCCTCAGTCACTGTCCAGGTCTCTTTCATATACCCTTTAAAAAAAAATCCATTCAACACATTTGTGAGATAGGTATCACTACTCTAGTTTTTGAAGATGTAGATATAGGAATTCAGAGATTTAATTATCAGGATCAAAATGATAGCAGTAAAATGGAGGCTTAGTTTTGTCACTTACCCTCTATTTGACACGTTATTTTTCTATCCCTCAGTTTCCTTATCTGTAAAGTTGGAATTAGTAAGAGTTAGGATAGGGTTGGCAGATTTAGCAAAAAAAAAAAAAACAAAATAAACTAGGAATTATTTCCCAAATGGTACATTCTTATGCTGAAATTCAGATTTAGCTGGGCACACCTGTATTTTATCTGGCAATGCTATTTTAGCACTACGGTTACGACAATGCATGTAAAGAATTTAGCCCAACCCGTATCACTTAGTGAGCGCCCAGTAAATGCTTATTAAATTTTGGATCTGATTCCTGTCTTTTTTTTTTTTCTTCTTTTTTACCTCAGACACGTTGAGCTTAGTTTCCACACAAAATTTCAGTCAAGCGAGGGTGATACTACTTTAAGTTTCTATTAGTTCTTTATCGTTCCTAAAGCTCTTTCAAAGCCTGGCCAATGCCGGAAAGCTCCTGAGGAAACCCACAAAAGCTCCGACTTTTGAGGGCCGTCGCTGCAGTCCCAGCACAGGCTCCGCAGACGGACCAGCCGGGCAGCCACCCGTCGCTCCGCCCAGCCGCGCCCCGCCTCCGCCCCATCTCGGCCACTCAGCGGCCGCGCCGCGCCCCGCCGCATTCCTATAGGTCCTTCGCGGGGCAAGCGAGGCCTTTCCATTTTCCCGCCTTCCCCAGCCCCTCCTCAGCCCGAAACCCGACTGGCCCACAACGTCTCCGCCCTGCTTCCGTGCGAGCCCCGCCCTTCCGGACACCGCATCCCCCTTCCTCCCACACCCGCCGCCTGGGCAGCCTGCAGGGTCCCAGTCCTGGCCCCTCGGTAGGAGGTGGGAGGGAACAGGGAGGGACGGGAGGAGCCCCCCTCCCAAGGGGTCGCTGGAGGCGGGGACCGGAGGGAGGGGCGGGGCTCATCTCCTTGGCGCCGCGTTGCCATGGCAGCGGGGGAGGGCGGAGGGAGGGGAGGAAGAGAGCCGGAGGGGGATGTGGTACTGCCGCGGCCGCCACCGCAGCTGCCGCTGCCTGCTCGTTGCCGCGTCTTCCCGGAGGCGGCTACTGGAAGCCGCCGGGAGCAGCTGCGGTGCTCTGCCATATTGTGTCTTCCCCTGCTCGTTCCTCACCCCTCCGCTGCGGCGGCCGAGCTGACGGTGAGTCCCGGGAGGAGCGGCGCCCTCCTCAGCAGGCGCCGCCCGGCGTCCGCGCTCCGGGCAGAGCGTGCGGCGGGCGCCGGGCGTGGGGCGCGGAGGCGGCTGTCCCGTGACGGGCCCGGACATTTTTGTCCCGTGAGGGATTGGCGCTGGCGCGGGGGTCTCCCCTGCGCGCGCCTTGGGTGGCGTGTGGGCTCCCGGGGGGGTGGCGAACTGAGGGTAGTGCGGCCCCGTGAGGAGTTAGGAGTTTTTCCTGAGGGGTGTAATGACCGCCCGGGAGCGGGTGTCGCGCGGCGGAAACCGCGGCGAGGGCTGCCGGCTCTTCAGAAAGGCTTGGAGGTGGCCCCGAGGACGCTTAGGGCTCGACTCGGGACGAATCTGCTGTTGGGGGAAGCGCCCCAAGCCCGTCGGGAGTCTTTGCAGCACAGACGCACCCCCTCCCCCCGCCCCCGGCATAAAGTGCAGCAAGACGTGCGGGGCGTGGAGCCCTCGCCCGGCCCCGGGCGGACTGGCTGGGCCCGGCCAAATAGTGCCCGGGGAGGCTCCGGGTGCGGCCAGCAGTGAACTTCTAGCAGCGGGGCGGCTGGGCGTTGGGGGTGGGCAGGGGCGGGTCCCGGATGTGGGGGTGGCCGACCCATGCACCCTCTGGCCCCTCCTCCAGCGGGCGCTCGGGGGGCCTGCGAGGGTGGCTGTCTTGGTGGGATGGGAGTTAGTGTTTCAGCGCTGCAATATGGACACTTCCTGTTCTCTTGGGCCCTTGGTTATCTCTGCCCTTACCGGGAAGGTGAGAGGTCGTGTGGGCGTGTGCGAGGCCCTTCAGCCTTCTGAGTTCGCCCCATCGCAACAGCAGCGAGGCTGGAACCCGGGAGGACGGTGGGAGTCAGGGGAAAGCGGCCCATGTGCGTAGAGCTCCGTCTTACTCAACTCCACCCCATTGCCCCTTTGCAGAGTGCCTCTGTTCCCATCGCAGCTCACGGGAGTTGGCGTGTCTTAATTCACTGGGGGCACACTCTCGGGATCTTCCTGGACCTGATTTCTGCTTTAAAGCCTCTTTAAAGCAGCCTCTGTACTTGGTTTTCTCCTTACAGAAAAAAAGTCTTAGCGTGCAAAGAAATGACACATACTTTATTTCTTCTACCCCAACTCCGAGGTTGTGGGAGGAGGTTATTATTTTCAGGTTAGTTTACGCTGTTAATCTTGTCTTCTGATTGTGACAGCCACGTGGCCGGTTGAGTGTAACTGAGCGCCCTAGCGCAGCCAGGGCTGAGGCTTCACTGGTAGCCAGGGGGCTTTGTAACCATGCGGTAGCTTTGCATCCACATGTATTTTGGTGTTTTCTGAGATGGAAGTAGAAAAAGCTGAACCGTTCATGTCTATCTCTGTTCCAACCGAATGGAAGACTGTTTTCTAGCAGTCCTTGTAATGTATATATTGACATTTTTGCTTTCTGCTGTTTTGATGATTTATCTTTAAAATCTAAGCAGCAGTGTTAGGTACCATTAAGGAGTGATGGGGAATAGAAGAGCACATTACGGAGTTTCTCAACTTTGGGAAAAAACCGTTTGAATTTCAGAGTCGTTAATGAGAGTTTCTAATGTAATCAGAAATAATCACATTCTGTAGGATTTCTGCAGAATAGTTTCATAAAAATCTCAGTTTTTCTCTTTTTACATAAAAATTGTGATCTGAAAAGATATAAATATATTACCAGTGAAAATACTTGTTTAGGGATAAAATAAGTACTTGTTTGATTTGTGCATGGGCACTTTCTTAAGCTTTTTTAAGGAAAAGTATTAACAGTTTATATAAATGTTAACATCAACAGATATTAAGGGAATGAAATTAAAGTTTTAGAATATATAAAAGTAAAAGGTCAAGGGCTGAAGAGCAAAAAATTAATAAAAAGTAAAACAAATAAAATGAAATAATTTTAAATAAATTATTCTAAAGTAAGGTAAAAAACAGGTTGAAGATAAACTTTTGGAGAGTTTGGAATTTATTGAATTTAAGAATTACATACAATCCTTGGTTACTAGTGCATCATGTTTCATTTTGTAAATGTTTTGGTGAATTTGAATTATGTCTGTAACATGTTTTTATTTGAATCAGTTTTACTTGAAGAATGCTAAACCACAGAAAACACTTAGAATGTTTAAAAGAACTGTGTGGAGAAGTTAACAGTAGTACCATTAGAATTTTAATTCTAATTCTAATTCAGTGAAGCTAGTAGTTAAAAAGATTGGAGAGGCTTAGGTGCGGAAAAGATAATGCAATTGAGAAATGAATATGTGTGCTGACCACTGAGAGCAGTGCATAGTTGAGAAAGAAAACTAAATGAGGTAAAGAAATACTTATATAAAGCAGGAAGCACTGAAAACATATGCTGGGAGATAGCTACATTATTAGTTATGGAATCCGGCTATCAAATAAAACTTTAAAAAGTGCCATCCAAACAAGGATTAATCTTGTTCTTATGGCAGCTTATATGTGTGTGCCTTGCTTTTAGATTGTTGTCATTTTAGTAAGTGGGTTTTGCATAAATGTAAAAAGGTCCTCCAAAAACAAAGTTTTGAGGGCCCAATTCTTTGCTGATTTTTTTTTTTTAATTTTTAATTTTTGGCTGTGTGAGGTCTTCGTTGCAGCCCGCAGGCTTCTCTCTAGTTGTGGTGTTCGGGTTTTCTCTCTCTAGTTGTGGCGCACTGGCTTAGTTACCCCACGGCATGTGAGATCTTAGTTCCCTGACCAGGGATCAAACCTGGGTCCCCTGCATTGGAAGGCGGATTCTTTACCACTGGACCACCAGGGAAGTCCCTTTGCTGATTTCTTAGGGAAGAAAAAGTGTTCTAATATTTGATCCCTATTCTTGGGTTGAAGAGACATGATTAATATATGTGAAAAAAAGTTTACAATGTGAGATGATATAGATAGGGGAGGCTTCTTGAAGAAAGTAAGGCTTTTGTTTTCAAAAGTCTAACCTTCATGTTACTCCCATTAGATTAATTTTCCTAAAGGTTATATCACTTTAACAACCAAAATACCTTATATCAAGCATAACACCAAATTTCTTCTCAAGATTTTTCAAACTTTGGTCCCAGTCTTCTCCCTTCTTATCTTCCACTGACGTACAGGAACTGTTCATTATTCACTACTTCAACATGGTATAACAATTTACTACTTTTTACGTTTGCTGATACAACATTTTTCTGTTGGAAATGCACCTGCACACATCCTCTTAACTGTTGAAGATCTTCTCAAACTTGAGGCTTGGTTAAAATCTTGATTGCCCTGCTAGCCTTAGAATCATAGAATTTTAGACCTATCTTCCACCTCTCCAACTGAAATTCTTTTCTCTAATAGCATATTATTCTGTTGGGTTGTAGCATTCTATACTGCCTTGTTTTTATTTAATAAATATTTTTTGAGCACCTACCATGTGCCAGGCACTGTTACAGTAACTGAGGCTACAGCCTTGAATAAGACAAATTCCCATATTCTTTGTTATCTTTTTAGGTTTTATCACCCCAAGAAAATTATAGTCTTTGACCACCCAGAGGAGTCTTTTTCCCCCCACCTCAGGTATATGTTATATGCTTAGTGAGTATTTGATTATTTTCTGAGTAAAGGAAAGGCAGCACTTATGAGGTAGAGAGATGGATGGAAAGGTCTTTCTTTATAAGTGAAGGGTACAAAGGAATAACCAATTATGGATGGGCTTGAAAACATCACTTTTGAATTTAAGCATGGTTTAATGCCAAAAAAAAAAAGTGGCATTTAAGCTTGGGCATGATAGGATAAAATCCTTATTTTAGGAAGGTTCATTTGACAGCAGTGTGCAGGACTAATTATTGACTATGGGAAGGAAAGAGATCTATTAAAGGACAAATTAGTAACTTTGAGAAGGAGGTTTGGAAGGGGAGCATAGTCAAGAAGATGGTGAGTTTAGTTGGAGTGTTAGGTGAGTGGGAGATATCAAGGTGAATATAACCTTTAATGACTAGAGATTAGAGCTGTGAGATAATCCATTCAATATAGAGGTGACAGCTAATGTTACAATTTTTTGTTATAGAGTTAGTAATTGAAGTGTTGAAGCCTAAGAATGATGCTTTGGGAAACAAGAATAAGGGGCATCTGCTTTGGTCATATGTGACTTCATAATTAATACTGTAGACTTGTTCAGTAACTTAATTTCCACTCTATGAAGTGCTACCAAATATATAGGAACCAAAAGAATGTTTATCATCATTCACTTCCAAAGGATTTTGATTCATATATTTCTTATTCCCCTTACCCTAACTTTTTAAATTTAAATAAACATTTAATTTTAGAATAGTTTTACAGTTACAGAAAAATAGCAAGATAGTACAGTATACCTCACCCAGTTTACCCTATTGTTAACATCTTACATTACAGTGGTGCAGTTGTCACAACTAAGGAAACACAATTGCTACTTTACTATTAACTAAATTACGTACTTAATTCAGATTTCATTAGTTTTTCCCTAGTGTCCTTTTTCTGTTCCAGAATTCTGGTTTCTCAAATTTTTCTTATTTCTGATGATTGTGACAGTTTTTAGGAGTACTAGTCAGAAATCTTATAGAATGTCCCTCAGTTGAGATTTATCTAACATTTTCCTCATGATTAGACTGGGGTTAGAGTTTTAGGGAGGAAGACAACAGAGGTGAAGTGCCATTTTCTTCACAGCTTATTAGGCTATATACTAAGAACATAAAATTGATACAATGTTGACAAATGTTGATCACCTGTTTGAGGTCTTCGTTGGGTTTCACTCCCCACCCAGTCATACTCTTTGGAATCAAGTTTCCAAGCATAGCTCATGCTCAAGGCCTTGACCTAATTTTAATTTATGTATATTTTTATTTCCCTCAATCTAATTTTCTTGTCCATAAGTAAACATTAAACTTAGGCAAATATTCATTGAGCATCTTCTGTATTTAAGTGCTAAGGATATAGTGGTGAGCAAGAGACATCATTTCTACCCTTTTGGAGTCTGCCTGATGTGAACATAAAGTAAATAGAATTTATCCCCTCACCTACATAGGTCTTATTTCACTGACAGTTGTAAGCATAGTATTACTGTAAGCCTAAAAGGCTAAATAAAGTTCTTAAGTAGCCATTTAGAAAATATGCTGTTATCAAAAAGATTATATATATCATTAAAATAACCATCTTTTTGCTACCAACATGGATAAGGGAAAATTACTTTGATTCTCTCCAAGTAGGTGTATTACTGTTTAATTAGCAGAATAGTTTAATTATTGTTAATTATCTTCGTATCTTATAAAGTTTGCAGGTTGTATAAGAAAATTCTTGGCTTCTTGATTGTATTTCAGAGGCATTTGGTGCTTTTGCTACTTAGAGGTTTTTTTCTAAGAAGTGGTTTGAAAGACGTGTTGAATAAGAATTGCAGTTAATTTTTTCTCCTTAACTGGGTTAACTAAAAGCACTGTTACTTTGGACTCTTATTGAAATTCTCCCTAAAATGTATTATTAATACATTTACACTTTTCACATTTTATAGTGTTCAGCCCACTGAGCATAATTTAATATTTAACTTAGAATTTTGACACAGAGAACAGTTATTTTGAGTTTTTATATAACCTTGGAGGTAGAGAATTGAAGGAATTGATAAACTTACATCCTTGTGGTTTGTTTATCTTAAAAGAGGAAATACAGGAAAACAGGAAGAGATTTCTTGTAAATTGAGATTTTACTGTTCCTTCTGCCTGCCCTATGCCTCTGTCCAACTCCTCCATCCTTAAAAGTTCAATTTAAATTCTACCTCTATGCTGATTGAGCAACATTTATTAATAATCATGGCAACAATTACTACCTTTTATCAGGTGCCTACTATGTTCTGGCGTGGCATTATACTAGACACATGAGTATATAATTTAATTCTCCAAAACAACTGTGCAGGACATTTTATTGTAAAGAAACAGAAGTTATGTAAATGCAGCCCTGGGTGTTTGAGCCCAGGTCTGTCAGATTTTAAAATTTCATATTCTTTGTACTGTGACCTGAAGTCCTTGAAAAAATGGATATTTGCCAGGATGAGATACTTCTTTCCCAGGAAAAAGTAAGGAAGAATACAGGGTAAAGAGAGCAAACTAATATTTATAGAATGCCTATTGTGTGACATGAATGCCACTACTTTATTGTCATAGTGAATTAAGTAAGTGGTTGTTATTCCTTGGGATGTAAGGGGGTTAGGTCATTTGTCAGAGATTGCATAAGAAAGTTGGTAAGTGATGGGTCTGCTTGACTTCAAAACCTTATTATTAGTCTTTTACTTTTCTAGTACAGGATGCTGCTATTTTCATTCATTTAAACATTTGCTTACTAAATGTTATGGTCTGCGGTAGAGCATAAAAATGAATGTATTTTTGTTCTGCCTACAAGGATTTATATTCTAGTACAATATTTCTTAAATGGAGGATAGAGAATCAATATAGTAAATTGTGACCAACATATGTTAAGTACAATCAAATAGAAAATTTCAGTTTGTTGTATGTGGTAAGGGTAAAAGTGCTATTTCATTTTGTTTCCGTTACATATGTAAGTATCATGGATCTCTTATAAAAATATACTTCTTATTGTGGGATAGCATTAAAAGTTTGAAAACTACTGGTCTAATGGCTGAGTTGGAAAGATAAGCAAATAATTATGAATAATCAGAAATAGCAAGTAAGTTCTATAATAGGGCTCTAAATAGGATGCTAAGGAAGCATGATTGGAAAAAATTGTATAATTCAAGGAAGGCTCCTAGAGAGATGACTTTGAGTCTCTCTGAAACATGGGGTGGAGAGCCTAAAATACATCTAAAAGCATGAAGAAGTTAAAGAGCATTGTATATTCCGGAAGCTTGGGGTGGTGTGAAATAGGTGCAAACAGGAACCAGATTTTTTATGGAATTTGTAGGCCACCGTACTAAAGATTGTAGATTTTATTAGGCCCATGGTTTTTCTGGAGTCTCATGGCATTCTTTTGCTAAAGAACAGATACATTTGTATATTTGATTCTATCATACAATCTAGAAACAATTTTAGGAATAGAAAATTTGACCATATAACACGTTATGTAGTATAAAATGGTGGGTGTGAGCACAACTTTTGATAAAAACAATCACAACCAAAAAAAGATTAAACCGTTTTGAGGCTACAATCAAATGTTCCTTTTCTACTTTTTCTTGCATTTTTGCTATTGCTAGCAGACTAATGGTAGCAGATGCTAAAGTTTGAAGAAAACTTTATAAGAGAAAATTGTTCATTTTTTTCCTTTGAATTGGAAGACAGCCATTATTCAATTTTGAGGACAGTAGGGACCCTCTATTGGAATATTAATATCAGACCCATTTCTGTAAGCCACAGTTTGCAACCTTTACCTACAGCTGTGTTTTGTTTGGCCAGGAATATTAAAAAAAATTTTTTTTGCATATTTGCCAACACTTAAATATTGGTACATTTCACACAAAAATCTAGAGTTCTTTTGTCCCTTGGAAAATTGAACATCGTGGCAGCATTGGTTTCATGGGTTGGTTCGGTGAAGCTTATAAGCAGCTGCCCCCTTTTGGTGGTCTCCATAATTCTCTGTTGTCTTACAGAAGACCAGCTTCACTTGTTTGTTGCCTGCCTGGTTCTTGTAAGGCTTTTGAATTGCCTGCTGTGTACTGTTATTTTGTGAAGTGTTTTAAAAGGGGGACTTGGGGTCTTTGAAAGATCATTCTGCCAGTATTGTAGAAGATGGATTGGAGGAATATGAGATGTGTCTGGTTCGAATTTTAATGCAGGTGGGATGCCCTTTTCTTCTGAACCCATATTACTTTTACCTTTCTCAAAGCACTTACTATATATAGCTTCCTCTTATATGTGTTACATATCTCTTCAACTAAATTGTAAACACCTCATACATAACATGTGCTCAATGAATGTTTGTTGAATTTAATTATACTTATTTTTAAGAAGACCGTGTTTGTTTGTCTCAAAGGTGAGTTTTCTTCGCAGTTTTAGAGTACCTCTTAACTGAAAAAATCTTTTACAAATTTTAAGTATCAGTTGAAATTTATTCTAAGAATGAGTAAATGTCAAACACTTTTAAACTATGTGTTACATGTGAAAAACAGAACAGGTAGGTTCTGTATAATAAGATGGTGGACTTTTAATTCATTGTCCTGTTTGCCAAGCATCATGATGAAACACTGTGGGAAACTTGTCTCGGTTTGCCGTGTAATTTTTTTAAGTCATTTTGAAGATTATTCCAAGAGCTTTTTGTTACTATGTATTCTACTGATAGCTAGAAGTTTTAAATTAATACCATTTATGGTTTTTTATTTTCTAAATTTTTAAAATGCTTTTTACTGTAAAATAAAATGTAGATGCAGAAAACCACACAAGAAATGTGCAGCTTAGTGAATTATTCTAAGACCAACCCTCATGTAACCATCTTCAAGGTTAAGGAATAGAATTTTGCCAGCCACCTTAGAAGCCCTTTCGAGTGCCTCTTCCAAAACATAACTCCCTTCCTTCAAAAACTAACCACTGGGCTTCCCTGGTGGCACAGTGGTTTAGAGTCCGCCTG